AGCCACAAGCAGGGAGCTTGATGGGAAGCAGGGCTGGTGGGATTAGAACCAGCAACCAAATGGGATCCCGGCACGCTCAAGGCAAGGACTTTAGCTGTAGGCCACCGTGCCTGGCCCTCACCACTCCTTTAAAACAAGTACTTGAGAGCCAATATATGAAGGAGCATAGCCAATTCAATCATTAATAATTTTCAGGTGTGCAACTAGGAAAAGGAATGCAAATTAAAGCAGCTATAACACCACACTAAAAATTTTTACATTCAATACTGAACCAAACTGTGGAGAATGGTTGTACTGAAAAGCCCTGGATAGTGCACATACAGATGTTCTCTATCCTTTAGCCCAGTATTCCACTCTAGAAAATTTATCTAAACAAATATTCCAAGAGTGAAAACAAGTATACTGTGTTATTTTTTTGCAGAAAAAAAAAAGAAAGAAAGAATTCCGATGCACAATAGGCAGGGAATAGCTAAATCACTCCTTCAATGCAGCAAAAAGAACAGATGGAAACACTGAAGTAATGAGCACGAGGCTCAACTGAGGACCTAAGCCAGGCATCAAACTCGGGTGCTCTGCTATGAGAAACAGGCAGCTTAAGGGACACGTCAAATGCCTGCCCCTCAAAAGGAATTTCTTCATGCTTGGAGTAAGAAGAGTGCTTTTTTAAAGAATACTTTGCACACACACTCATACTTCTGTGTCTGAAAAATCAGTTTTGATAAGCTGGAACATGAGGTTCCAGACTATATTCAATTATACCAACTAAAGTTTCTGATGGGCACATGTTTTAACAATAATAATATGGGAAACAGGGGAAGGCAACAGACACAGCGGTGTGGTGTGGCAGTGACTGATACCCCAGTAGCATTCAGCGAGCAGTGATCTGAACTGCACTGGTGGCTGGAACTCTTCAGGCAGCATGGGTGGGGGTCAGAGGGCATTCACCAGGAGCTCAGGAGGTGAATCCGGACAAAGAACTGTCCATCTTGCTGGTCTGTTTGATTTTACCAGGAGCAGAGACAGAGTGGCAAGTCCTAGATGGGTGGTCCAAGGTGGATTTCACAGCCCAGATTGGCCCCTAGAGCTAAATTGGGCGTCATCTTGTGTAGGGAGGCAAAGGGTATGAGACATGATTGTGTATACACTGAGCTGGGAGTGAACTCACTTCTAGCTCTGTGAACTGCAACAATGTGGCACCCTAAAGGTTCCACCCAAAATAGGTCTGGGCAGCCTTCAGATCTGACAGGCCAGCAGATCAAGAACTCTAGTGGTAGTTGCAGGGACAACAGTGAGCTGCACACGCACCGAGCTGGAACAAAATCACTGAGCTCAGTGCAATGCATTGGTTCCATAGGGAAAAGAATACTGACTTTGGCATCTTACAGGTCAAACACATCTGTGTGACCCTCAGACCTATGGCCAACAGCATCTGGCAAGATCAGCACCACTAACAATCTAGCTATTTAGGACACCCGGTGTCTCCCCTAATTCCAGGAACTGCTCCAACCTGAGGTGGGAGAAAGGTTGTACAGAAAACAGTGCAGCCTCAGCACGGCATCACAGGAGGTGAAGACTGGTGAGCCAGGAGCTGGGGCTACAGAGATCATGGTGTAAATATAACATAAGAAGCCAGACCTGGAACTCGCTGGAGGGAGTGGCATGAGTGACTGCAAACAAAGAGCTGTGTACCAACTGCAATAGGTAAAATTGAATTATAGACCTGTGGGTGACAGAGCTTACAAACCTGCCCCAAGGAGAAGAATCTGTTAACCAGAATTGTAATGACTAAGAGCAAAAGAAAGACAAAGGCAAAATGACTATTACTGAAGAATCCCCTGCAAAGGAGCAAAAGTCTTTGCCAACCTTGGAGCTACCTGAGGAAAACATTGAGAAAATGGGGTATACAGAATTCAAAACACTTGTTATAAAGCTTATCGATAACGAGAAGCATGTAATACAGGAGTCCAAAGAATTCAAGGAATATGTCACACTGGGAATGAATCAAATGAAAGCTGATATGTCAGAAAATAAGAATATAGTGGAATAAATTAAAAGTACAGTGGAGAGTCTCCAAAACAGAATGAATGAGGCAGAAGAAAGAATCTCAGAATTGGAAGACATTTCCTGTCACAAACAAAAAACTGGAGGCAGAGCCAGGTCAAGCTAAAAAAAAAAAATCAAGAGCTGAAAGACACTATTAAAAGGCCACATATAAGAGTCATGGGAGTTCCAGAAGGCACAGAAAGAGAAGCTGGGTTTAAAAATGTATTTAACGAAATGATAAGGAAAAATTCCTCTAATCTAGAGAGAGAACTGAGAAACAACATCCCAGAGGGGCACAGAACTCTCAACAGGTTTGACCAAAAGTGATCTTCACCACGACATATGATAATCAAGCTCCCTTCAATCCAACATAAGGAAAAGATCCTTAAATATGCATGTGAAAAAAATCAACTGATATATAAACGAATGTCAATTAAATTCAAAGAAGACCTCTCACAGGAAACTCTATGGGCCCAAAGAGATTCCAGATTCTAAAAGCAAAAAATTCCAGGATAATGTACCCAGCAAAACTTTCCTTTGTCTTTGAAAATGAAATAAAATTCTTCTACAGGAAAGAAAAGTTGGAAGAATATGCCTCTTCCAAACCTGCCCTACAAAAGATAATTAAAGATGTTCTCCTGACAGAGAAGAGGAATGGGACCCAGCAAAACCAAAGGCAAATGTCAAGAACATCCCAGTAAAAGAACAACAGAAGACTATATGAATGAACAACTAACTCATTGCTAGGTAATTTTGACAGGACAAAATTACTATGCATTCATACCAATCCTGAATGTAAATAGATTAAACTTACCAAACATAATAGATAAGTAGACTGGAATAAAAAACAAAACCCTTCTATTTGTTGCCTCACCAGCAAAGATCAGTGGAAACTATATCTTACGGTTTTATTTTTTTTAGTTTCATTTCTTAAAAACTCTTATTAAATTCTTCACTGACTCATAGAACATACAGCAACATCATTTTCTTCTAGAAGGTTCTTGATTTTCATTTCTTCAGTGACACATTAGTCATTCAGTAGCATGGTATTTAACTTCATGGCATTTTAAAGTTTTTTTTTTCTTCCTATGTTGATTTTGTTTTGTGGCTTTTCCTTTAAGGGGATGTATAGTAACTGTGTAATGGAGATTATCATATCCAGATATGAGGATACAATGCAGTATGCATCACTACTTCCAGACAAAGATGGACTCCCAATGAAACTATTAACTATATCTTGACAATAGAATGCTGGACTCTGCCATTGTCCATGCCCACAATGATGGACTTACGAGCGTTTATGAGGAACTATACTACAGTAATAATATAGGGGATCTCAGTGAGGGGGAGGGGGACTTAGGGAAGGGGTGAGGGAAATCCCAGGGCCTATGGGACTGTATCATATAATGATAATAATAAAGAAGTAAAATAATAAAATAATAAATAAATAATCTACATATATATTAAAAAAAGAATGATGCAGCTTTTTCCATTCTAATACTATAATTCTCAGCATTATAATGCTAAGAATAAATGACTAAAGTATTTGGCTACTGTGAGCTAACCATCTTTAAGAGAGAAGTACATTTTATCAACTAACCATCCTTGTAAGATCTAGTTCTCCCAATAATTTTTGCATGTTCTTTTTACTCTGTTTATGAGCTGAACTACTGTTTTACCTCTGGGTGTTTTAATAAATGAAACTCAGATAAAGTGGGTTCCCAGGATACTAGTGCATGATAAAGCAGGATTGAGAGCCTAATGTTCTTTAAGTTCAGCAAGTTTAGAAGTCATGAAAGTCAACAATTCTCTTTTCAACGGTCTCACTGTCACTTATAATGAAGCTTAGAAAAGGAATAGCAAACAAGTGGACCTCTTGCTACACACGTTCTCTATCACAGCATTTCTAAAATAGCCTTTTTCTTTGCAGGAAAACAAAAAACACAACCAGGAACTGATCATATTTAAACATACAATTCACTTTAAAAGGGGTGGGGATTTGCAATTGATGCAAACTATTCAAAACAATTTCCCAGTGGAAGTCACCACCCCTTAACTTTCATCAGAGCATACTGCATTTTTAAATAACACAAACAAACAAGAAATCCAAACAAAACAACTTGTGGAAAGGAAATTGCAAAGGCCTAACTAACCTGAGAACTCTGTACTCAGGAATGGCTCACTCCTAACCAGAATGGAGTCTGTGCCATAAATTCCCATTTTGACACTAAAAAAGTACAGTTTAAATGAGGTTAATTCTGACTTTTCCACCCTTTCTATTATGGCAAATAAAAGAATACATGCAAAAGAGCACCAATGAAAAAAGCATGCTAGATCCTTGCAAATGACTTTAGTATAGGGCAAAACACCACTCTTAAATACAGATGGGCAAAACAGCTAAAACAGGCTTTTCTGATTGCAGTGTCAGAGGGGAAAATGGTTAGACATCTTGCTTATAGTACTTCTGTTAATATTTGGCTCCAACACATTTAACACATTAATAACTGTTTCTATTCTAAATAACCTCACATATGGAATATATGTAGATTAACACAACATGTCACAAATGAAATAATCATTTCTAATTTGTTCTCCTTAAATATTTATCGATGCTCTGTACAACTACTGAGAGGTTTCTATTACATTGCTGAATGGTCACCAACTTCAGATATAACCAGGAAGCACTCACTGGATTACACTTTTTACTATCTTCTCTTATCTTTAAAATTCCTACTGACTGAAAATTCAACCAAGCAGTTCCTGACAAAGGTTAGGTGTTTTTTCTCCTTCTTCAACTAAAAGTCAATTTTGTCCTTATGTCATCTTCACTTAATACTGCTACTATAGGTCTAATAAAAGGCAAACTGAATGGCATGGCAGTTCTCCCAAAAAACGGACAAAAATGTCCTTCAGTTTCTGGAATAGCTTATCAAATTTTAAGTGTAATAATTACTTACTTCCAAGCTGCCTCTCTTTATTGGATTCAGCACTAACAATTTCTTCAGCAGATTTTCACAGTCTGTGGACATATAGAAGGGGATACGGTACTTCCCTCGTAACACTCGCTCCCGTAGTTCCTTAAGAAGGTGTGAGAAAGCACATATAACTGGCTTTTGGAATTGTTGTGTCGGTGGGTAAACATCTTAACAACAAATGTAGCTGATACCTTTAAATTCTGGCCATCAAAAGGCAGGGAGCCACTGACTAACGTATAGAGAATGACGCCAAGGCTCCACACGTCCACTTCCGGCCCGTCGTACTTCTTCCCTTGGAAAAGCTCCGGAGCAGCGTAGGGTGGGCTTCCACAAAACGTGTCCAATTTGTTCCCAACTGTAAATTCATTACTAAAACCAAAGTCAGCAATTTTAATATTCATATCAGCATCAAGCAGAAGATTTTCAGCCTAAGAGGAAAATAATAAAAAGGACAATGTAAAAAGCCTACGCAAAGTAACAAATATTTGTCAGAATTGTTGCAGATCCCAAATTCAACACATTCCTTGGCTTTAATTTTTAAATTGAATACTAAGTTCAGAAGTCCAGTGTGGTACTTCAGTGTGACACTGTTAAGAATTACATCTATGCACGACTGAATTTTAACACCTGGAAAAAGAAAGGTCTCATTTAAATACACACTGCAACTATTCAAGAGAAGTCATTTAAAAATCTATTTTTCACAGATGAGAAACATGCTGGGAGTGTACTTGTATATGGCCCACAGAAAGTAAGCTAACCTGACAGCAGTCTTCTTTGGACTGAACAATTTCACCCAAAGGAGGGTCATTTAATAGAGTATCAAGGGCTTATCTAAATAACAGGAGTGTGTGAGTAACTGAAATCATTGCTTTGTTCTCTCTTGTAAAACAAAGTACTGTTTAAGGAAAACAAAACATAAGACAACTTCTATTAGATTTTGTCTGTTTTTGGCTTCCTCTTGCTGTCTAGGACTGGATTCTCTTCTGCAGGTAGCTGCATAGAAAGTACTGAATACTGTGTTATCGATGCTGCCAAAATCCTAACACAGGAGCACCCAAAGACAAAATTCTAAATGTGTTTTGTAAATACAAATAATTCAATAAGTGGCATGTGTACATGTTCTGTTTCAAATTCTATTACAAGAGACTAACCAAGTTATAAGTCACTTTGTAGATGTTTTCTCAGGTCTTCCAAAACAGTAAAATAAGACGAAAACCAGAATTTCCTATTAGGTGGAGGGACCTACAGCCATGGAAGCGGGTATAACATCTACCGTGTGTTTCTTTCTTCCTCCATGCCTCCTTGTCTTGTCTTTTTTTGTGTGTGTTTATCAATTTAAGACACTTTGTCTTCACTTTGCTTTAGGCAATAGGGAATACATTTAACAACAAAACATGCAATTAAATCTCTGGTGCTACTTGTGGCATAAATATAATGGAAACACACACATTTGGGACATTTCTAGTAGATAATGTGTAGACTGCATGACAAAAACCAGATTATTTTGATGTTTTTGTGTAAGAACCTGGTCACTGTAAATTTCCAGGGTCACTTGCGATTAAGCTGGGCTTTTCAGTCTGTCTCAAGCTGTCTGATGGTTATTACAGCACTTATGCCTCAAAGAAGAAGAGCTGTATGGCAGGACTGGGGAGGGTGGGGAGGAGTCTGGGGTTCCCTGGAGCACACAAGGAAAATTTCTCCACGGGACTGGACAGAGAACCTATTTTATTTTATTATTTTATTTTTAAAGATTTTTCACAGGAGAAATGAAGTGATACGAGAGCTAAACACAGGAGATGAGGAAATGTTCCTCCTTTCCTTGTGGATCGGATTCCTTCTTAAAATACCAGAGACAGATGACTAAGAAACAGAAAAGTGTAGGGCAGCAGAAAATTTGTATGCTCAGAAAAAAGGAGCAAAACACAGGATTAGTCACTAACAACTATTCAGGACAAGGTTTGAAATGGAGTATAAATTAGTGTTCCTATGACAAGAGGCAATGGAAAAAGAAAAAACGGTTAAAAAAAAAAAAGAAAAGAAACGGATAAAAGGAAGGCAGACTTGTAGGTGGACAGTAATTCAGGCTATCCGTGGAAAAACTGAGTAAAAGAAAGAGACAAACATTTCATTATCAAACAAAACCAGGGAGAAAACTTTTGGTCAGAACCACTTCCTCACTATTATACATTTTATTCTAAGTATGCTAGTTTATGCTAATTCCATGCATTTAATGCTATTATGAACTTTTAAAAGTTTTCCTTACATCTTGGAGCCTTAATGGGTGCACTGAACACTAGTTCTTACATCAGACAAAGCTGGATCTTGCTTCTGACTTAAAGGAACCTCAAGCTTTCAGGTTAGGTGCAAAATTTCACATCTGTCTGTTCAAACAAGCTAATTAGTGAACAAATCCACCACCCTTTGATGCTAGAAAACACCTTAATCACATTTTATTTATTTACTCAGTGAAAATATTGCCTTTCATGAAGTGGTTGTGAGAATTAAGTAAAAAGAATTACTTTATACATGACCTAGCAAAATCAGATAACCACAAGGTTGCTCTAATATTAAATATCTGATAATATCTGATAATAACTAAGCTTTGGATTATAAAAGCAGTGGCTTACCTTAAGATCACGGTGAACAATGCACTTTTGATGACAATACTGAACAGCAGATACAATCTGAAATAAAAATTGAGGCAAGAAAGTCAAATTTATTTTGCAGTAGAAATATGATTTTTTTTGTAATTCTTAACAATTGAAGCAAATTACTGATTCTGAATTTGGAGTAATATTTAATAATTTTACTATTCTCTTAGTTAAGAAAATTACACACACGATGGTGATAGAGCTTATGCTTTTTAATGTAGAAAATACTGAAAAGTAATATACAAAAAATTTCTTAGATTATGTAAAGATTTTTGGGGGTTGTAACATTTCTCCCTTGAGTAGATGAATGTGTTATATTTGTAGCTTTGGTCAGTCGCTTTATCACAGTGTTCAAATAAGAGCTCTGGCACATGCAAATCAGTATTTCAAGAAAGATGGCTCAAGTTAAAAAGGCAGAATTCTGTCCTATTAATTACAGAAAGTATGTTCAAGGCATGTTTCTTTGGTGAGGCCAATTTACTAAGAACTTATCAATGAAGTATTCATCACTATTCTATATTGATTTACACATAAACAGGAAAATTTTGAGTCTTAAAAAGAAACCTAATTATCACAAGAGGGTAAAATGATATTTTATTTTCAAGCTCTTAATAATTCAGTTGGGCAAAGCACTCTGCACCTGTGACTACATTTTGTATGTAAGTATAATTTTTCATCTTTACATAGGGTTCTGTAAGGGATAAGGGGTGAACAGGAAAGAACTCAATTCTGAAAATGTCAAAAATACAAGTGAAAAACAGATTATAATTTATCATAATTCTTTATTACATAAAATGTAAAAATGAAAAGAACTGCTAGTTAAGAGCTATTTTGTATGCATTAGTATACCTGATGTGCAGGAGTATAACTATTTTAATGCACAGCAGAACATTCACTTCTATAGATTCAGTTAAGTACAAATAGTTTAAAAAATTAAATGGTGGCTAGACATTTAAAAATGGAGATTAAAATGATTTTATTTTTTAGTCTAAAATTAAGGTAAAGCATGACCATCCTAACAGAAACATGGATAGAAAAATATCAAAGTAGAAGTAAAGCTAACATTTACAATGTATATAAAAAAAGTTAAAAGACAGTGAAGATAGAAATTCAAGACAAATTTCCAGACATACGAGTAATATATAAGTCAATTAAACACTTTATAATCAACATTCAGTTTATCAAGTACCAGGTACATGAAAGAAAATGTACTAGTTGCTAGAGGAATAAAAAAATGAACACTGCATGAGCCCTACCCTTACAGAGGGTCACAATCTGATTAAAAAGCGAAAACATGTATGTGAAATACTTGTAATACAAGCAAGAACATAGAAGCAGAGATAAAAGAAATGAGAGTACCATAGAAAGTAAAGAATAATTTTGCAATCAGTGTTGTGGAATAGTAGGTAAAAGGCTCAATCTGAAGTGGTGGCATCCCATATGGGCAACAGTCTTTGCTGCTCCACTTTTGATTCAGCTCTCCATTAATGTGTCTGGGAAAGCAGAAGATGGCTCCAGTTTTTGGGCCCCTATTCCCACACGGTACACCTGGAAGAAGTTCCAGGCTCTTGGTTTTGGCATGGCACAGTCCCAGCCACTGCAGTCATTTGGGAAATCAATGTGAATGGAAGATCTCTTCCTCTGTCTCTCCTCTCTCTGGAACTCTGTCTTTCAAACACTTCTCCTAAAAACAATTACTTGTGGAGATGCTTCCTGGAGTAGGTGCTATTTTATCTAAGCTATTTTTGAAGAACAGCAATATTTTAATTTTTTGTTATATTTTTATTTTGAATTTTTGAATTTTGTGGTATAGTCTTTCATAAAGAGTCATAATTCCATCAGTCTCTATTTAAGTGTACCCCGACATTGTTGGTACAGACAATGTCAGATAGTCCAGCATCCCATTGTCTACACATTTCCAACAGTTGCATTGGGAGTTCATCTTTTGTTTGGAAGAAGGAATGCATATTGCATTGTACCCCTACATCTGGATATGGCAGACCCCAGTACTCCATCACTATACATTTCCATAAATGAGAAGCTATGAAACAAAGTCAACAACTGGTATGAATTAGAACAACAGCCACAACAACAACAAATTACAGCACCATGAAAAAATGCGCCACTGAGTAACCAACACATGGGTGACAAGAAGGAAACACAAAAGACTCTTGGGAAAAATAATGCCACTGTTTAATCCATGAGCCAGTGATGAGTTCGGCAAGAAAAAGAAAGTATTTGGAATAAATGAAACTGAAATAAAAAACATCAAAACACATGGGATGCAGCCCCCCAAAAATAAAAACCCAGTATGGATTGGCTTATTGAAGTTAAACTTTCCATGATGGTTTCCTTATATTAGAGAGAACATATAATATTTGTTCTTTTGTGATTGACTCATTACACTGAGCTTAATGGTCTCTAGTTTGGACCATCTAGCTGTAAATGGCATAATTTCATTCTTCTTAAATAGCTGAATAATATACCATGGAGTAGATGTACTACAGTTTCTTTATCCACTCTTCTTTGTACGCACATCTGGATTGTTTCCATGTCTTTGCAATTGTAGATTTTGCTGCTACAAATACAGGATTACAGATCCCCTTCTCACATGCTGATTTCATTTCTATTGCGTATATTCCTAGGAGTGGGATAGCTGGGTCATATGGCAGATTTATTTGCAATTCTCCAAGCACTTTCCATACTGATTACCATAGTGGTTGTACCAGCCTACACTCCCACCAGCAGTGAAGGAGGGTACTTTTCTCCCCACATCCATGCCAGCAGGTGTTAGTTCAGTTCTAAAAGTAGGCCAGTCTCACTGGAGTTAGGTGGTACCGCAATATGCTTTTTCATTTGTATCTCTCTGATGGCTAGGGAGCCTGAGCGTCTTTTCACATGTCTGTTAGCCATTTGAATCTGTTCTTTTGAAAAATGTCTGTTCATTTCCTTTGGCCATTTTATTACAGGGTTGTTTCTTTTTACTGTTCCTGGGTTTCTGAAGCTCTTTGTAAATCCTGGATATTAGTTCCCTATTACCTGTGTAGTATGCAAAAATTTTTTCCCATTCTATTGGTTGCTTCTTCACTTTGTTAATTGTTTCCTTGGCTGTACAGAAGCTTTTTAGTTTGATGTAGTCCCATTTGTTCATTTTGGATTTGATTGCCTTTGCTTTTGGTGTCTTTTCTAAGAAGTCTTTCCCTGTTCCTATATCTTGGAGAGTGTTTCCTATGTTTTCCTTTAATAGTTTGATGGTTTCTGGGTGTAGATTTAGGTCCTTGATCTATTTAGAGCTGATTTTTGTATACTGCGACAGGTGTGGGTCTTGCTTCTTTATTCTGTGAGTTACTATCCAGTTGTCCCAACAGCATTTGTTGAATGGATCAGGATTTTGCCTGGATTGTTTTCCATTTTCTTGTCAAAGATTAGTTGACTATACACATGTGGGTTCCCTTCTGGTGTTTCTATTCTGTTCCACTGATCTCTGTCTTTGTACCAGTACCAGGCTGTTTTGTTAACCACTGCTCTGTAGCATGTCTTGAGGTCTGGGATTGTGATTCCTCCAGGTTGGTTTTTATTCTTTAGGAAAGTTTTGGCTATTCACGGGCTTTTGTGATTCCAGATGAATTTATGCATCATCTTTTCTGTTTCTGAGAAAGAATGTTGTTGGGATTTTGATTGGGATTCTGTTGAATCTGTATGTTACTTTTGGTAATATGGTTATTTTGATGATGTTGATCCTGCCAATCCAGGAACATGGTTTCTCCATTTTTCAGTATCTTCTATTTCCCTTTTAATGTTTTATAGTTTTCATCATAGAAGTCTTCCACATATTTACTTAGCTTAATTCCTAGGTATTTAAGATTTCTCTCCTCTATTTTAAAGGGAACTGTATTTACAATTTCTTTCTCATCCATGGAATTCTGTACACTAGTGCTATCCACTTGTGTTAATTAATTTTGTATCCTGATACTCTGCCAAAGTCTCTTATGAGTTCCAATAGTCTCTTGACTGAGTCTATTCGTTCTCCTATGTAGAGAACCATGTTATCTGCAAATAGAGACAATTTCATTATCTTTTTTATATCTTTTCCAACTTGAATTCCTTTAATTCTTTTTTCTTGCCTAATAGCCCTGGCAAGGACTTCCAATACTATATTGAAGAGTAGTGGTGACAATGGACATCCCTGTGTAGTTCGATTTTAGTGGGAAGGCTTCCAATCTTTCTCCATTTAGTATGATGCTGGTATTGGGTTTTTCATAAATTGCTTTGTGCTGTAAAGTTCCTTCTATGCCTGTCTTGCTTAGGGTTTTCAGCATGAAGTGGTGTTGGATTTTATCAAGTGCCTTCTCTGCACTTATTGAGAGGATCATATGGTTTTTATTTTCAATTTGTTGATGTGATGTATCACCTTTATTGATTTGTGAATTTTGAACCATCCCTACATGCCTGGGATGAGTCCCACCTGGTCCAGGTGAATGATCTGTCTGATGTGCTGTTGGATCCTGTTGGCTAGTATTTTGTTGAGGATCTTTGCATCTATGTCCATCAAGCATATCGGTATGTAGTTCTCTTTTTCTGTAGTTTTTTTCTGTTGTTTCTGGCTGTGGCATTAAGGTAATACTGGCTTCATAGAAAGAGTTTGGAAGGACTGCCTCTCTTTCTGTGGTTTGGAAAAGCTTGTGGAGAATTGGAGTAAGTTCCTCTTGAAATGTTTGGTAGGATTCAGCAGTGAAGCCATCTGGTCCAGAACTTTTCTTGATTGGGAGGACTTTAATTACTGATTCAATCTCAGTGCATGTTACAGGTATATTTAGATTGTTAATTGCTTCTTGATTCAATTTTGGTGGACTGTATGTGTTGAAAAATCTATCCATCTCTTCTAGGTCTTCTGATTTATTTGCATTTAGTTGCTTGTAATAGTTCCTGATGATTCTCTGTATTTCCAAGGTATTTGTGGTTATATTTCCTTTCTTGTCTCTGATGCTACTGATGTGTATTCTCTCCCTCCTTTTTTGGTTTCTTGGGCTAGTGAGGAGTCTATTTTGTTGATTTTATCAAAGAATCAGCTCTTTGATTCATTGATCTTATGTATAGTTCTTATGCTATTTGTTTTATTTCCTCCCTTATTTTTAATTATTTCTTTTTTCCTACTAATCATTCCCTGTCTTTCCTTCGCTCTGTAAATCTGACTTCCCAATAAAAAATTAAAAAAAAAAACATAACCTGCAGTTAGATAACTACAAAACAATGTGTGTGTGGGTGTGTGTATACTTTCCTGTTTTCCAAAAGTATTAGTTACTTTTTTCTTATTTGAGGGAACATACATAGATTATTAAATATCTATAATCAATAATTACAAAGATTCTTTTACCGTTGAACTTAGCTGATTAAAAAGAATCCAGGTAAATAGCAATAGTAATAATGTTTAAAATATGAATTAAGATTCCAATGAGAATACATACTATCAATTGGAATTTTCTTGCTGGTATGTGACTGATGCTGAACAGTGACACTGAGTTGTGGGGAGTGGCCGACCCCACGTGTATGTTAGGCAGTCACAAGATGGCGGCTGGCTGAGGGCCAGGAGGCGGGACTTGTGCCACTGGTAGGCAAACAGGAAGTCACAGGGATAGACTAATGCCCCACTGCCCCCGCTGCGATTGCTGGCCTATCAGATAGCGCCAAGTGGACCCACAGGGAGAAGTGACTGGTGAAGAACTGTATATAAGCAGCCCGCTTTCTGCAATAAACCCTTTTTTTGGTTCGCCTTCCCCTTTTTTGTTCGTTCGCTCTTCTTTTCCTTTGGTTTTTCGTTCACTCATTTGTGTGTTTGTTCGTGTGTTTGTTTATTGTGTGTGCTGGTTGCGGTGGTGGTTCCCATTTTTCCAGGTCCTTAAGATTCCTCGTCATTTTAGTGTCGCTGCAGGGCAGTGACACTGAGTGCTGCACCACTGCTCCAGGGCAAGTTTGGATTTCCATTGAGCACAGGGAAGAATTTAGTAAGTGGCTGAACATTACTCAGTTTCTTAATTTTGTCTTCCTCATTATCAGCTGTCTTTACATTCTGCTAGCTTAATGCAAATGTTTCCAGCAATCTGTCCTAACAAATGGGCTACAAATGTATTCAAAAGAATTTCACAACAAATTGTTTTCCAAAAAGTAGTAATTCTGTGATATATGCCTAACAGTTTTATAAAACAAACTCATTCATTCAATGATCAATTTGAAAAATGTTATATAAGAAAAAGTTTTCTCCTCTCATCCTCTCTCCTGTTTGCCTTACATGCTAACACACACATAAATATCTTAATAGAATATCTTAGGTAAGAAATGAGTGTTTTCTAAATCTGCTGACTTACAGCATCCCTTTAAGTAGAGTCAAATTTTATTATGCTAACATAAGAGGTACTGAGCCTGTTTAAAATGGAAAATTTCATTTTAGTGATAAAGTTGTCTGTTGGAAGTTACACATTTTTAAAAAAGATTTATTTTTATTACAAAGTTAGATACACAGAGAGGAAGAGAGACAGAAAGGAAGATATTCTATCTGATGATTTACTTCCTAAGCAGCCATAATGACCAGGGCTGCGTGGATCAAAAGCCAGGAGCCTGGAGCCTCTTCCAGGTCTTCCATGTAGGTGTAGGTCCCAAGGCCCTGGGCCTTCCTCAACTGCTTTCCCAGGCCCCAAGCAGGGAGCTGGATGGGAAGCAGAGCCTCCAGGATTAGAACTGGCTCTGATATGGGATACCAGCACATGCAAAGTGAGGACCTTAGCTGCTAAGCTATGGCACCAGGCCTGAAAGTTATACATTTTATGAAGTATTTACAACTTACACATTTGTCATTTCTACTGTTAATTTATAAAGTATATTGAATTTTATGATTTCAGTCCTAAAAATTAAACATAAAACCCTGGATTAATTTAAATTACCTTTCCTTTCCTTATCATTTCTGTAACAAGTTATATTCAAATTGAACTAGAAATATGAATATCTTACCATATTCTTCTGCCACATTTGCAAGACTTTTATCAGGCTAAATAAAACTGATCACATTTTTAAACCCACAAAGTGAGTTTTAAAATACACATTTAATTTTGAAAGATAATAATATATTGACCTCTTTAGAGGTCAATAATATATGTGATATATATATCACATCTACGAAGTTGATAACACTTAACAATATTATTGGATAAAGCATCAAAGTAGGAAGTCATTATATTCTTACCTCAGTCTAGTCTATGTCTCCAAGAGTTAGCAAGGTGAATTTCATAAAACTTCACTAAGTAATGACCATCTAAAATAACCATCTATGACTCTTCCAAATTCAAATTCAGCAAGAACAGTGGGTTTTTGTGTAGTTTTTCATTCTTAATTTGTATGAGAAAACAACAATCTTTTCCCAAAAACACCATATACTCTTTAGTTCAGTTTTTGGCATTGTCATTACACATGACTAAAAACATAAGCCAAATAAAATTGAAATTACTTTCCATACCTGCCTAAATTTTGCACGGGCCTCTTTTTCTTTCATTCTTCCATGGGCAACTAAGTAATCAAATACTTCACCTGAATCAAAAAGGCAAAGCAGGTAGTAAATATACATACATAAACACAGATTTTCAGCTAGCAATATATGCAATGTCAAGTTTTCAGCTTGTTTTCAAGGAAACCTTTGGCGTACAACTTTTTGTTATGTCTGTGTAAATCAGTAACTAACACAAGAATAACAAAAAATATACACAGAATAGAGTATTTGCAGCAGTTTATAATTTAACAAAACATAAAAAACAAGTCATTAAAAAAATACAACTGTGAAAACTTGCCTTCTGCTTTCCAGTATTATGTAAAACCAGAATCAACTCTTTATTATTCATCCCAGTAAAGGAAAGTCACAGCATGGGAAATCAAAAATTTTATTTGACTTTGTATTTAGGCCTAATTTTAAAGAAAATGAAAAAAAAAAAACATGTCAAATCTCTTTTCAATTCTGCCTTTAATGTAGTCTGGGTCAATTTGCATCTAGCTACTTTCACCACACTGATTTTTTCTTTTCTTTTTTACGTTCTGACTATGCTTGTTCTCACTCCATTCATTTAATGTAGTTTTGCGGTCAACAACAAATTACAGATAGGAGAAGCTGTTTTGTATGACCTCAAATGAACTGCAAACTATGTGAACACTACTAACACATCTATATTTAATTTGTATCCTTACGTCCAGGACAGAATACAAAGTGGGTAGGTATTATTGTCAAAATAAATTAAAAGTAACTAAAAATTACAGACCTTTCTATTGGATAACTTTTTTTCAGTAAACAATAGTATACATATATATAAAAAATTCTTGGTTACAATGCCAAAAACAAAATGCTACCTTAGCGTAAGAGAAAATTAATGTTGGTAATCTACAATTTGTGCCACACGGAGAAACATGTACACTAGAAATTAACAAAACAGTGGCCAGCGCGGTGATGTAGCAAACTAACCATCTGTCCCATGGCTGTTCCATATGGGGAGCAGTCCATGCCCCAGCTGCTTCACTTCCCATCCACTCCCTGCAAATGGCCTGGGAAAGCAGAGGAGGACTGTCCAAGGCCTTGGACTTAAGCCTTTTTTTCTTAAAAAAGATTTATTTATTTATTGGAAAATCAGATATACAGAGAGGAGGAGAGACAGAGAGGAAGATCTTCCATCCAATGATTCACTTCCCAAGTGAGCGCAACGGCTGATGCTATGCCGATCCAAACCCAGGATCCAAGAACTTCTTCCAGGTATCCCACACAGGTGCAGGGTCCCAAAGCCTTGGGCCGTCCTCAACTGCTTTCCCAGGCCACAAGCAGGGAACTGGATGTGAAGTGGAGCTGCCGGGATTCAAACCGGTGCCCATCTGGGATCCCAGCGCGTTCAATGTGAGGACTTAAGCTGCTAGGCCACGCCGCCGGGCCCTGTCCAAGGCCTTGGAACCTTGCACCCACAGGAGACTCAGAAGACGCTCCTGGCTCCCAGCTTCACACTGGCTCAGCTATAGCCAAACATGGGCGTTTGGGGAGTGAACTACTGGGTAGAAGATCTATGTCCTATTTTCTCTTTCTCTTTGTAAATCTAAAATCTTTCCAATAAAAATAAATAAATCTTTTTTTTTTAACAGCCTTACACAAATTCATAGAAGAGCTTAAAGAGCTTTTCTAGTACATTAGTTAAAAACTCAGATTTTAGAATCAGATCAATTAAATCTCATTTGATCCAAAGTAGCTATTGGAAACAATTATGAAGAGTTCTTAACTTCATTAAGTCTGTTTCTATCTATGACCTACTTACACGGCTATTGTGAGGGTCAATTAAAATAATGTACATGCCTAGCACAACGACTAGCATATAGTAAACACTCAATAGATGACATATTTGCACCAAGGAATACAGAAATATTACATATATATATATGCAATACAACCCCTAGGATGCAGGTAAAATTAAAACTCAAACATATAATGAATATGTCAGATGAAACTAATACGTCTGCATAGTTGAACACTATACTATATCAAGCACACTGACATGATCAAATGGGGTGAAGAACAGAGAAATGAATGGATGCTCTATGTGACTTATCAAAGTAGCTCATCCTAGATATGTGTTAACAGTTGTTATTTTCAGTTAGCTTGCCAAAGAACTTAAGCCTGGATCTGTGAATTTAGGTTGGGAAAGATATATTCAAGAACTAATGCATTCAGGGCCCAGCGGTGTGACCTAGTGGCTAAAGTCTTCTCCTTGAATGCACCGGCATCTCATATGGGCACCGGTTCTAATCCCAGCAGCTCCACTTCACATCCAGCTCCCTGCTTGTGGCCTGGGAAAGCAGTCGAGGACGGCCCAAAGCCTTGGGACCCTGCACCTGCATGGGAGACCTAGAAGAGGTTCCTGGTTCCCAGCTTCGGATCGGCACAGCACCGGCCGTTGCGCTCACTTGGGAAGTGAATCATTGGATGGAAGATCTTCCTCTCTGTCTCTCCTCCTCTCTGTATATCTGACTTTGTAATAAGAACAAATAAATCTTTAAAAAAAAAAAAGAGCTAATGCATTCAAATCTACTCTGAAACTCTGCCTGCAGTGCTTCGACCTCATATATTTATATGTGACTCAGTTCTTCACTTATCTCACATGGTGTGTATATTACGCTTCTGCAAATAGAATCTAGGCTTCCTGATGGCAGGGTTTTGTTACTGCTCGCCCATGTATTCTCAGCACCCAGGGTACTGCCAAGTACCATCAAAAACATTTAGCAAATACGATTTATGTGAATTGAAAAAGGAATACACATACCACTACAGAGACAGTTTTTCTGGAACCTACCTTTAGCAGATTCCTTTGGACTGAAAATCCTAACAAATGCTCCTGACTTTCTAATCTCTGAAGATGTCTGCCTATTATGAGAATCAGAATCAATCAATCGATTCCTGGCAAAGTGGTGTTTACCTGACTCAGCTGTTGGTCATACAAGGTTTCTTATATGCATGACCAAATCAATCTCCAGAAATTCCAGAGGAATGATATTCACTGTTTTACTTTGCAGAGTATCCTTGCAATTTATGCATTAAAAGAGCAAGAAGATGATCCTAGATTTACTACAAAAGAACATGATGGGTTTTTGTTACAGAAGAAAAAAAATATATGAGTCAAAGTTCAGTGAGGAAGTCAACTACTTTGGGCTCAATTTCAGTATCCAGCTCTCTGCCCTACTCCCAACTATGCCTTGGATGGAGAACAAAGGCAATTGGCATTAATCCGCTGATTGTTCTACTCATTAGCACCAACAGAGTCAACTATACTTAGTATTAACTTTAAGTCAGTACACATATAAATACTAACACAGCCTGACACATTCATACAGAGAAGTGTCCACACACTTCAAGCATTCCATATTTTCTTATATCTAAGTATGTCTAGGGTATGTCTAGGCCTCTTCTCTAAATTCCGTATCACTGAAAGCAATGGCCTTAACTGTGCGAAAAATAATTTTTAGGGTTCTCATGATGATAGTTGGTATAAAAATTTAACTCAAGTAAAAAAATAGCAAAATACGCCATGAGGTATTTGCACGTGTATTAGTTTTGTAACAGACCATTTTATGAAAGTACGTGTAGCTATATTAATATTATTTAAAATCCCCTAATAATAAACATCAATGACACTTGTTAAGTAAAAAGCAAAACTATATTCAAATATTTTCAGGGTGGCAGAAGCTTTGAGAAAAGGATATTCACTAAAATACTTAACCTGAATGAAAATGGAAAAAGCAATTAAATATATTTAACATTAGTAGACATCTTTAGAAATCTAAGACATTATAAAATAGCTCAGATGTGATAAGCTAGCATAAATTCACAGTTTACATACAATCTCAATTACCATTAAAATCAATAAACTTGACTAGAAAAAGGGCCCACTATTAACATCAGCTGTTTTCTGTTAATGGGCAAGAAGCCAGATTGAGCTGCCTTCTCTCTTCTTTCAATTGCTTAAATTATCTGGACTCTAAACTTTCCCTTTAGGTTTGTTTTTTGGGTTTTTTTTTGTGTTTTTTTTTTAAGAATTTTTGTTTTGTTTAAAAGAAAATTAATTAAGTGATTTAATTCTATAAATTGCAAACACATTTCTTAGAATTATTTTTTTTTCTTTTAAGATTTATTTATTTTTATTGGAAAGCCAGATTTACAGAGGAGAGAGAAAGATCTTCCGTCTGCTAGTTCACTCCCTAAGTGGCCGCAAGGCCGGAGCTGAGCCAATCCAAAGCCAGGAGCCAGGAGCCAGGAGCCAGGAGCCAGGAGCTTCCTCCAGGTCTTGCACACAGGTGCAGGGTCCCAAGGCTTTGGCCCATCCTTGACTGCTTTTCTAGGCCACAAGCAGGGAGCTGAATGGGAAGCGGAGCATCTGGGACATGAACTGGGACCAGTATGGGATTCCAGTGCGAGGCAAGGATTCAGCCATTGCATCATCATACGAGAAAATTATATCTCTAATTAAAGGTAAGTGCAGTGGATAAAAATTCTACTACCTATTAGCATCTAAAATTTATTCCTACTTTTGACACTATAGTGTTAAAATATACATTATATTACTGCAAAAATATCTCCTTGTCAACTCATTCCTATAACTTATATACATCAATATTTGTTTAGACTAAGATTTTATAGGTTATTCTGAAAATGAATATACTGAGAATTTGTGACAGTTAATCAATGAAAACAATCATGTGAGCTCTACAGATCTATTATATAAATCAATTGATCTCCTATGGATTTTATTAAATATACTCTGCATATAATATTCTCTGCTTATAGACAGAGCTACAATCATGTTGTAGTACTATAATAATAATTAGGTGAACAAATCAAAACATTCCTAAGGTGATAGTACAAATTTAAAATTTCAAAAAATATCCTAAATAATTTAAAAGTAAGCCAAAAACTGTACTTTTAATTTAGGATCAAAAAGTCATGAAGATAAACAGAGCTTTCTTTATAGTATAATTTAAAGGCATTTTAATAAAACCAGATTCATTAACAACACTGAAGATATAAACATCATAATGACACTTTAAATGTTAGTAATTATGAGAACGTCCCAATCCCTCCCATCCTTACCCCCACTCGCGTATTCCATGATTAAATAGAGGGTCTTCTCTGTTTCAATAACTTCAAACAATTTTACTAAAAAAAAAAAAAAACCACAGAAATAATTAGCTATAATTGCTAACACAGATTGAATATGCTTTAAGAAAATCGAATGTAACACTAAACCAGTGGAAGATTTGGCTACTTGATAAAACTACTAATTATAATTAACAAATTTTTCCCATGGAGGCAAACTACTTATCATAAAATTGTTTGAAACCATATTTCAAAAAGCGTTAAGTTTCTGTGGCCAAGAAATTATTACTAAGTTTTCCCAATTAAAGATAAGGTAACAAAAAACAAAGATTTTTAACTAATGCTTATAAATGAGACTATGATATAATAAGCTAGCATATCTTAAATAATTTTTGGTATAGAAACAAAAATTCTGTATGGATATATTTCTGACTTAGAAAAACACTAAATTATCAGATATAAGTAGCTGAAATTATATACAACAAATAATCACATGAATAAATACAATAAAGATAATACTTTTAATAATGTAAGTCACAAGTTACTACAAATTTTTAAAAGTTATTTTTCCTTACAATCAAATGATTTCATTTCATTAACATAGTAAAAAACAGCAAAAATTATAGTTTTCAGTTATCTTTTTACAATCTATCTTTATTCAAAGTATTATTTCCCCAGTTTGTCACCTTTTTGGTATATATAAAGCATCCTTAAAATTGTGCCAGTTGAATACCCAAAATGAAAGAGGCTGTTTCACTGAGGATAAATTTCATACCTATATTAGGATGATTCAATATCTTCATTATTCGTACTTCCCGAAACAACTGTTAAGGAAAACAGATAGATAATATTTATTTCTGTTTTTGTTTTTAAAAACAATCCCCAAGCAGAGACAGTTCAGTGAGACGTCCATCTGAAGAAATGCATGATTTTATACTACAGGATTCTGGCAACAAATTGCAGCAAAGAGTCCATTCTCAGCCCAGCTCCACAGAAACAAGCTAGTGAACTTAAACTCAGGTATTAACTTCACTGAGACACGGCTTCTTACGAGAATTTTAACAAGATGAACTCAAACGGTGCTGCATGTACAGTTTATGAATGTGCTATATATAATAAAAACTAACCCACTTTGTTTTTATAGCTAGGAACAAACAAACGCAACACCACATTATGGAAACGAAACCAAATGATACTCCCCAGGATCACTGCCCAGACTCTATAAAATCTTCTCTACTGGTTGACCACACATTTTCCCCTCCAAAGATTTATTTATTTTACTTGAAAGTTACAGTTACAGAGAGAGACTTTTTCCATCTGCTGCTTCACTCCCCAAATGGCCACTATGGCCAGGGCTGGGCCAGTCTAAAGCTGGGAGCCAGGAGCTTCTTTGGGATCTCCCAACAAGGGTGTAGACTCCAAGGCCTTAGGACATCCTCTGCTGCTTTCCTAGGTGCATTAGCAGGATGCTGGATCTGAAGTGCAGCAGCTGGGATGCGAATCATGGCCAATATGGGACGCCAGCACTGCAGGTAGAGGATTGGTCTGGTACACCACTGTTCAGCCCTCTGATCAGATATTCTTACGAAAGTCTCAGTGCATCTTTAGATATAATAATGAAACAATGCTAAGAAATAAAAACACGTAAAATTAAAACAACTTGAAACATGGATGTTAAAATACCCTTCCCTTTCATTTTGCTTTTTAAATAGTGTAAGGCCTATTTTTTAAAAGCATAATTTGCCATTTTTCTCTTCTGTGTTGTCCTTAAGTAGGTGTTAACTTCAAAGTCAAAAGATTTGTTCAAAACAGAAGAACCAATATTGGTGACATGCTAACAAATCTGTTTCAAGATGAGTGGGCTTTGTCAGAATGAAGCCTGCTGTGCTTTCAAAGGCGATATTTCTACAAAGAAGGTACTCCAATGGTAAGATATATAGACATATATAAAAAGTGCTCAACATTAATAATCATTAAGGAAATAAAAACCACAAGCTACAATGAGACAGCACTTTACACCCATCACATGATTAGTCTGAAAAAAAGTGCACTGAGCTATACAATTAAAAGTGGTTGAATAGTACACATTTTTAAGAACAATTTTTTTTAAAGATTTATTTTATTTTTATTGGAAAGGCAGATATACAGAGAGGAGAGACAGAGAGGAAGGATGCTATGCCGATCCGAAGCCAGGAGCCTCTTCCGGGTCTCCCACGCTTGTGCAGGGTCCCAAAGCCTTGGGCCGTCCTCGACTGCTCCCCTATGCCACAGGCAGGGAGCTGGAAGGGAAGCGAGGCCGCCTGGACTAGAACCGGCGCCCATATGGGATCCTGGGTGAGCAAGGCGAGGACCTTAACCACTGCGCCATTGTGCCGGGGCCTAAGAACAATTTTAAAAAGAAATACTTCATGCAAAAATGCATCAGCATCAATTGGATATCAGCCTGAAGAGGCAAGATCACCAATCATCACCTTACATAAAAATCAGCCCTAAAGGATCAAGGGCCTAAATCTGAACCCAGAAGCCATCAAACCTAGAGGAAAACATAGAAGACATGCTACAAGAAACAGACGTTGGTAAAGACTTCTTAGAAAAGTCACCAAAAGCACAGGCAATGAAAGCCAAAATAAACAAATGGGAACTACATCAAAATAAGAAGCTTCTGGACAGAAAAGGAAATGATCAACAAAAAGAAGCATCTAACAGAATTGGAGAAAATCTTTGCACAGTACAGCACAGTAAGAGAACTAATCGTCAGGATTTACCATAAGCTTCAGAAACTCAATGACAGCAAAATGAACAACCTTGTTAAGAAATGTTGAAGGCGGGCCCAGCAGCGTGGCCTAGCAGCTGAAGTTCTCACCCTGAACGCACCGGGATCCCATATGGGTGCCGGTTCTAATCCCAGCAGTTCCATTTCCCATCCAGCTCCCTGCTTGTGGCCTGGGAAAGCAGTCGAGGACGGCCCAAAGCCTTGGGACCCTGCACCCGCATGGGAGACCTGGAAGAGGTTCCTGACTCCTGGCTTCGGATCGGCGCAGCACCGGCTATTGTGGTCACTTGGGAAGTGAATCATCGGATGGAAGATCTTCCTCTCTGTCTCTCCTCCTCTCTGTATATCTGACTTTCCTATAAAAATAAATAAATCTTAAAAAAAAAAAAAGAAAGGAAATGTTGAAGGAAATGAGCAGGCATTTTTCAAAAGAACAAATTCAAATGGCTAATAGGCATACATGAAAACATGCTCAGGCTCCCCAGCTATCAGGGAAATAGTAATAAAAACCACACCGAGGTTCCACCTAACTCCAGTGGGAAGGCCTATATTAAGAAATCTACTAACACCTGCTGGTGTGGATGAAGAGAAAAAGGTATCCTGCTTCACTGCTGGTGGGAGTGAAGGCTAGTACAGCCACTATGGAAGTCAATACTGGAGAATACTAAGGGAACTGAAAATGACTCCACCCTGTGGCCCAGCTATCCCACTCCTGGTAACAGATTCAAAGGAAGCTAAATCTGCATATGAGAAAGTGACCTGCAACTCAGTATTTATAGCAACACAATTCACAATGGTGAAGTCATGGAAACAACCCAAGTACCCTTCCAAAGGGGAATGGATAAAGCAGCTATAGTACTTGGACTTGGAATACTACTCAGCCACTAAAAAGAATGAAATCCTACTATTTGCAACCAAATGGTCCCAACTGGAGACCACTATACTCGGGGAAATAAGCCAATCCCAAAAGGAAAAAAATCCTATGTTCTCTCTGATATAAGGCTACATTCATGCAAAATACAAAACAAATAGATATATAGGTAAACGTGTGTGTGTGTGTGTGTGTTCTCAGAGATGAACTGTAGAATGAAGACTAGCATACTGGGAAGTGAAGAAACATTAGTTGCAGTACACAGTTCTATTCCCAATTTTCTGCCATCACCCGTTCCCATAATGCTATGGGTCACTTATCGTGTATTAAAGGACAGCACTATGTTAATAATATGGGAGAAAACAGCGTGCAGGGGAGAATGTAGAGGGAGTAAGGGCGTGTAGAGGAAGTAATCCGTATCCTACAGAACTGCATCATGAAAAACAATTTTAAAAAGAAAAAAAGCAAAGAAAAATGTAAATAACCAAAATGAATCTTTTTAAAAATAAAAAAAGTGTCAGTAAAATTCTACTTCTATGGAAAAATGAGATTAAGGTTTGTTTAGTCCCACAAAGTTTGCTCTAAGAGATAACAATTTCTTCCCTAAGTGTGTACATGCATGTGTGTATACACACACAAACACACACATTTTTACTAAGCTAATGGTTCCTAAAATTTAATAGTGAAAAATCATTCAGTAGTAAGCAATATCAAAGTAAGTACATCAGCACTTAGAGAAGCTCCTTTCTGTAACTAAAATGAATCATTTCAAACTTGGCACAAAAAGCATGCAGCTTAAATTCTAAGTGGCCTTCAATATCCTCACATCATCTCTTCTCTTGGCTTCGATGACACAGCCCCCTGCCTCCCTGGCCACTCACTCATCTGCGAGATCCTCCCCTCCTTTACTCAATGTTTAAGACACACAGTTCCTCAGGATTCAGCTCTCAACCTCTTCTCTTCTTCCTTTGGATCTCACTTTATTTGAAATGCAGAATTACAGATGGGGAGAGATAGGGGCAGAGTTTTTTTGTTTTTAATTTTCATGATGCTACAGTTCCACAGTCTCAGGGATCCCCCCCATATTACCCACTGGTTTATTCCCTGCCAAATGACTGCAACAACAGCGGATGGGGAAGGCTGAAGTAAGGAGTCTGGAATTCCATTCGGTCACCCCCATTGGGCCAGGGATGCAGGGGCCCAGCAACTGCACTCTCTTCTGCTTTCCCAGGCACATTAGCAGGGAACTTGATCAGAGATGGAACAGCCAGGACTCAATCTGGTGCTCGTATAGATGCCCGAATCCCAGGCAGCTGCTCAATCCACTGCACAACACTGTTGCTCAACTCTTCATTCTTCATGCTCTCATGCCTTAACATGAATGCAAATGTCATCAACTTGATGTTGCCTTCTAAATTTAAATGTCTTACCCAGAACCTTTTCTCGTCTTCCAACATTCATGTTAATGTATTAAATACTCAGTATCTTCACTTGGCTGTTTCACAGAAATTATAGACAAAATATTTGACCTCAGACAAAGCTGATCTTTTACTGGTTTTCTACAGCTCTATGTATTCATCCAGCATTTTATTGCAAAAAATTTTGCCGTAATCCTTAGCGATGCTTTCTCCTCAGATTTCCGCATTGGATTTGTCACTGGCACATGCTTCTCTGTCCAAGCTGATGACAACCACTGTCGGAGAGAATTCTGTGCCTCTATTCCGCACCTTCCGATCCACTATCACTCAATACTCCTAAACTTAAAAAAACCCATAAATGGTTCCAGCACTATCAGTAGAAAGTCCATAATCTTTAAATGTGGGCTGAAAACTAAGATCCTTGTTGCCTCTACAGCCTTTAATCTTATCTACATTAGCCCCAGCTGTGCTGCAATCTAGTCATTCAGCATGTTTCTGAGTTCTTGAACTAAGACATTTCCTACTCAGGGTCTTGTACAAGCTGTTTCTCTCAAGAATGAATGTTCTTCTATCCAAAACTTTTTTTAGAATTTTGAAAAATTTTAAATTTGTTGAAAAGCACAGACATCAATAAGATCTTTATATTCACCATTATATTAAACCAAAGTCAACATTCTGCACTGTGTTACACTGTATGACTGTCTACATTCAAGAAAATATTTTAAAAGAAGTATGATGAAAACATTAACCATAATAGGCATA